TAGAAGGAAGATGAGGGCTCATCTCTATGTATAAGCTATGTATTCTCCATTTCTTTTACCTTAGTGAAATATTTGATTGATTCCCTCCCGTGGACGTAGATCCAGTTGGATCGAACCACGTAAACGATCTGTGTTTGCTTGAGATTCTTTTTGGTCTCATTTCTATGCCAGGAAGTACATATCTCACAACAATGATAAATTTAAGTTTCGGAGTGAAAGCAAATTAATATAAGTAGATATAATTAAGAAAGGTTGAATAAAAATACAAAAAATTTGTATATAAATAAACAAATTTGAGTTATAATTGTTTTGCTAATCGATATTGAAAAAATATAATATTATTTTGAGAAACTTACACACATGTTGTTGAATCTTTCTGGAATGTATAATCATATGTAATTTGTGAATGCATACATCCGGGGAGAGACTTGTGAAAGAAGTGTGTAGAATTTGAGGGATTTGTTAGAGAGAGAGAGAGAGACGAAGAGTTAGAGGCTAGAGTTCCCCCTTTCTCTTACTTTCTATTTATTCATAGAGGGTCCCTTCCCCTGTGCAAAGGATCCAAGAAAGAAAATAAAATACTAAGTTGTAAGTTTTATTGTACGGAGCTTGACTAGATTTGACGTTGACAAGATCCTTGGTGTAGGCGTCACACGGTCAGTAAATAGTTATATATAAGCAAATGGACTTGTTTTGTCTTCCCTTTGTCTCAACTAACTTTTCATTAAGGCTGGTGATGTAGCCAAGCAACTATCGACGAGCATGGTATGATGATTCAATTAGTACCACTGAGATTGAACGAGGAACTTAGGAAACGTGAGTGAGTTTGGTTGGAAGAGCTTGCTAGAAGACTTAAGCTTAGCAAGTCTGTTAGGAGGAACTCACATAAATGCTGACGTGCTTTGGAGGTACTCATAGAACTTTCTGGATGGCAAGAAGCTTTGTTGTTTGCCACCTCCAAAGATATGGTTAATGAGTATAATCAACCTACTCAGTGCCATACCATTAAGTGCATGGTTGGTTGGCTAGATCCATTAAGCCCGTCCGGCCCATTTAGTATTTGGGTTTTTCTGCTCTTTAATGAAGCTCATTTTTTAATATGCACATACTAAACCATTTTTATGCATTTACATATTCAACACTTAAAAGTTTGATGTCTATATTTGTTGAATCTCAATTTGTCTGTGAATCACAATTAAGGAATAGAACGAAAAGACAGACTAAAAGGTCTTTCACGTTTAAAACGACATTTCAATAAAGTGAGTGAGTTAAATTTTACTCAAAATATGATCAATGAAATTAAAATAAACCTCTTATACAGGGACCATGACTCTATTTATACGTGAGTATATAAGATGAATCATTGAAGGTTGAATTATTTATTATAAATGATTTAATATTATATATATGTTTGTTCTTATTATGAAAATATGATTTCTCTTTGGTTTATAATTTGTCAGATAGAGTCCATAAATTTTGGAATTGCAAACTCCTCCTTATTTATTTATTTATTTATTTGTAAACTAGTAGGAGGCCGGGTGGCTGCATGGAGCTTTGAATAAGGGACAATTAATGTATATAAATTAAATGAATTTGTATTTCATTGGCTATTTATTTTTCTATTAAATATCAATCAAGCTATTATCATCCATAAATTAAAATTAACAAATAGCAACTATTGAAGTATATTAAATTGAGGAAATAAAAGCTTAAGTATCTAAATATGTAATTTATATTTTTAAAATTGAAAATAGACAAAACTAATCAAATAGTAATATGATAATATCAATATGAATCTAATACTTTCCCAAGATAATAAACTAACATATCTATTTATTTATGTGATTGGAGTTTTTTTATGCTCTCAAATATTTAAATGGTATTATTGTAAAAGAAGAATTTTGCAAGTTACACGTTAACCACACATGAATATTCAATATAATAGAGTCGAGCTGATGCGGGGCTAAAGACAAGACTGGAGACATTTACATACATATCACCCAAATATTATGTATTTACGTAGCTACCACTAAATCTTATATATTTTTTTAAATTATATCACTCAAACTTTTAAAAAAAATAATAAATTTAGCATTTTTAAAAATATATAAAATAAATAAATAAATAATATAAATAAAAATTATTATTTAATTAATTTGAGCTAAAATGAGAGTCGCGTGATCGCGATCCGTTGTGGTAGAGGATGGAAGTGGGCGACAATACAGATCAGGCAGCAACAGGCCGAAAGGTTCACTTAGTGGGCCGTCTCCTTACACCAGTTTTGGGCTATTTATGGACCAGATTTGCTTATTCAATGGATCTGTATGGTTTTTGATCCTTAACTCAGTGTACGGGTTTAAACAAGGTTCAGCTTGTTTATATTTTAAGCTCAAAAAATGTGTTCGTGTTTGGATCGTTTGCTTAGCGAGCCGAACGCGAGTCGTTATATATTAAAAAAACTAAATTAATTTAGATTTGATTTTTGTTGTGGTTTTATATATGATTTTGCAAGTAGGGGTGTAAATGTGGTCATAATGTATATTTTATATATTTAATGTATTTTTTATATTTCGAGCTCAAAAAGTGTGTTTGTGTTCTGTTCGTTTGCTTAGCGAAATGCAAACCGTTCATGAACAAAGAATCTTTTTGACAACCCTAATCATGTAGTGATAAGATGTTAAGGATTGGGGCAAGATTTAAATTATCATTTGAATCTAAATTAATATTTTTTATTCTAGTTTCTTAATTAATTCTTATAATTGCTTATAAATCTTTGTAGCACTGTAGTATGTTATATTTTTTAAAAATACAACTCACCAAAAAAATATATATATAATTGATTAGTAATATTTTGAGTCAAAATGAGTCGAACACGAACAAACAATATGTAAATTTACTAACTTTTTATATGTGAATTGAGTACTTTCCTGCACAAATTTATAACATCAAACTATTACAAAAATAATAAAATTTAACTGTTAATATGTAAATACATTAAATTGAGTAATAGATTTATAATTTTTTTCTTAAATTTATTATTTAAAACGCATGTGAAACACGAATATTCCTCATAGTTTTGATTTTTTTAATTTAATTTATACATTATATGTCCATCATATATGGGAGTAGGTGTAACACCACAAATTTAAAAGCCTTTCAATATTAAAGCAATGATAATGTGAGAATTTATTTGAGGTGGTTGTAGAAATCCAACTCCTTAGAAAGTTATGATAAAAACTTATAAATGTATACTTTCTCCAACAAAATCTACAATAACTTTTTTATGATAAAATTGACAATATGACACATTAACAAATTGGAATAATTAGATACAAACTATCCGAAATATTGATATTTACAAATTAACCACCTATATGATTTTTTTTTTAACCATCCAACCAATTTAACTATGTGTGTGACGATCAAATCATTTAGAATTTAATAAAATAAAACATATGGGTTAAAGTTTTACCAAAAATTTTTATATTTGAGTGAGAATTTGTAAAATGGATGGAAGAGAGTGGTTGATTTGTAAATAGCAAGGTTCGGGTGGTCTGTATTTGATTACCCCCAACAAATTCTTATAAAAAAACAACTTATCACACAAAAATTTTTAAGAAATAATAACAAGAAGACACTTCCCGGATAAAAAAAAAGATGTTCGAACGTCCGGACAACCAATCACCAGGAACCATGTTGTCGTATAAAGCTCCCCAAAGAAATGATGAATAGTTGAGTCACTCTATTGTTGTGTTTCCATAAAGATGAGAGAAATATTTGCATACGGAAATAAGATGAATAGTTGAGTCACTCTATTGTTGTGTTTCCACAAAGATGAGAGAAATATTTGCATACGGAAATCATATGCAGAGTTGCGTACATTTTAGGTTATTCGGAGGGTACAACTAGGTTACACTTAAGTTATACCCCATTGTAATTCTTCGTGTAACTTAAGTGTAACCTAACTATAACATCCGAATAACTTAAAATGTACCCAACTCTGAATATACTTTCCATATGTAAATATTTCGTTAATCTTTGGAATGGTTTTGAGAAGATTTTACATTTTTTGTGTTATTTATTATACTGCCGTATTGTTTCACTATCATTCATCAGTACTTTCCACGTCAAAATGGAATTTTTATGCTTAGATTCAATAGAATATGATTACTACAAGAAAATTACTAAAAAAAACTATTTTCCTCTAGCAGCTACTTCTGCAGACCATTCCAAACTGACAGTTTAGCTTGTGAAAGCTACTTTATAACCAAATCATAAATTCTTTATGAAATTTCCTCAACCCTTCTTCAAACAAACAAACCTCAATTATTCCGCATAAAGCGTGATGCAATAAACGAAGTAAAATTACAGAAAAAAATCAAACGACTCCATCTTGCCCTAACTTGGCTTTCTCCACATCCAAAATCCCATCTTCTTCTTCTTGGTCTTCTTTCTTATTCAGAAGCTCTGAAAACCTCCGAGCCAGGCTCTGTTTCGCAGCGGGAGAAACTCCATTCTCCCCTATAATGGATTCCAACACCGCATTCGTCAGCTTCTTGCTCTCTATCACATCAGTCTCAGCCACAGGAACGCCATCCCCCTCCAAAAATCCAATCTTTACAAAAAAATAAAATTAAAAGAAAAATCTAATCCATTAAAAGCATTACAAATTTGAGCAGTGTCGAAAGCTTACTTACAGTGAGAGAGCCATGAGGGGAATGAGTGAAGATGATGGAGGTGCCTGGAAGAAAGTTCTTAGGCTTGAAGATTTCCAGAAACTTATTAATGGCCGTTGCTTCTTCCTCTGTGTATTCTCCGGCGGCTTTCCATGCGGCGACGCAGTTCCCGGAGACCTTCTCGGAGTACTGTTGACCCGTTAATGGCAGCAGCATCGTCACTCTCGTCAGCTTCTCAAAGGAACCTAAGCGCCCATTGTAGGTGCGGCACATGTAAATACATTAGCATTGTGTGCTATGAATGATAAAATTTGAAGTTTTAAAATCTTATTCGTTTTTTAAGACAATCGATATGAGTTCAGCTAAAAAAAAATCCAAATTTGATCAGTGTAAGCGACACATAATGCCATTATTTTGTTAGAAGCTCGCCTGTAATAATGTCTCGGTAAAAGTCAACCGAATCAGTGAGCTTCTCCGCCTTCTTCCCCGTCCATTTTCCTGCGATCGCCGGAATCACCGCCGCTTCCAAGTACACTCCGATCGCGGTTACGGCTAAAAACTTTCCTCCAACTTCTATACCCCTCGCCCCTGCATCCATCCATGAACAGCCATAAAAATTCCAGTTTTGTCCTTTTTTTTTTTACCTGCGAGCTCTGTAAAACAGAGCTTGGCTTTGTGATTTCGGTCAGTAAGGGGAAAAGAGGGAACCTGCGCCACCGAGAAATAGAGGTTTCGAGGTCGCCGGCGACGAGATCTCGGCCGGAAACTTCACTCCCTCCACCTCGATGGGCGTCGCCACTGTTTCTGCCATCGATTTTGAGTGAAAGATGGCCGGATTCCGGCGAGAATGGGCGAATGGACGGAGATTTAATGGAGTAATAGTTACTGGTTTAATGCCAGCGAAGAAGACAAGAGGAATTATTTTTTTTTTACCAGATAAATTATAGCCATGAGTTTTGTGAAAATTACTTAAATGGCATTAAAGGTGATTTATTTTTGTGCAGGAAAAGAGGGGTATTTCTGTAGATGCTCGAGATGTTAGAGGGTAACTGGAGGCGTTAGGTGAACTAACATGAGGATAGGCGCGTGAAGCGTGGCCAACGCTTGGTCGTCGTAGAAATCAAAATGAATGGCGGAAGGGGGTTTGAATTCAATAAGAAATAGGAAAAATAATATGCAATTCATATTTTTAAAAAAATTTAAAAAGGAAGCATTTTTATTTATCTTTTAAAAATATAAATATTTTGAAATATAGATGACAAAAAAAAAAAATTCAACGTATTTTTATCTTCGCGTTTGCAAAAAAAATTCCTGATTTATTTTCTACTGATCAATCAAGGATTTTTTAAATAATAAGTACACACTATTCATTAATTTGAGACTCTTGTTGCTTGATTAAAATATGTTCATTTTTATATTCAAAATTTTTTAGTTCCAATGATCTCAATGAAGCTTTATACATCCTTAAGAAATGATTATAATTATGCACGAATCTCAAAGCATATTGATCAAAAAACTATTCTGAATGTGCATTTATGATGATAAAAGCTCTGATTTTATTAAATTTATAATCAAACTGAGCGTCTTAGCAAGAAGAACCCAACAACATTAAACTTGATCTATAGGCCTAATTAAGCCCAGATCAACTCATTTAAAGAGTATTTGGATGATCGTTTGAATGACCAAATGAATTCCAAATTTGACAACTTATATTCAAATTGAGTGTCTCATCGAATCGAATCCAACAAGTCCAATATATCTCGATTTGGACATCATTAAAACACTTAAATGCTCGTAGAAAACTATTTGATCAAAGAAATTGCTCTTGGTTGTTTGATGGAGTGCTTCATATTCATGTAGTATTACAGATGATGTAACTCATAAAATCTTTAAATCAACCCTCATTCCTTTTATGAAAAGAGGGGCTCAAGACCATGGCTTGGGACTTGGAGGAGAATGCTGAATGGAGATACAAGCTCTTAAGGATTCTTGAACTCTACCATCGTCGAACCGTGACCGTCAAGCTCCATCGCCGATAAGCTCCACTATTGTCTGACCTGCACTATCAAGCTCCACCGTCGTCGGACCATGTCCGTTGAGTTTCACCACCGTCGAGCTCCACTATCATTGGACCATCACCGTTAAGCTACACCACCGCCAAACTTTTGATGAGACAGCCGGGTGTCGTCGACGCCGCTACAACCAAACCACCATTTCCTGATCGCCACCACTACCGCTGCCACCACCGCTGCCCTATCCTCTCCATCTCCACTGTTGCCGTTGAAAACACCATTGCGGTCTAGCCAATGTTGTCGTCTAATCACAAACATTGTTGTCTTCATACCAATGTCATCAAAATGCCACCAATTCTTTTACATGTTATGCCACTCCCTTAGAGGAAGTCATGTCGCTTGTGTAGCATTGCTCTTTGCCATTTAAGGGTCAACAAAGCCTTGTATGCCACATTGACATAGTGGAATCATTTCTACTAGACAAAAACCAAGTAGTTTTTTCCCATTTTGGTTTTCCACGAAAATACTCATGTTGGCTTCTTTGTCAATTTCTTCTCATATGTATTTGTGTTGACTTAAAACATTAATATATCATTCTACCGCAATGAATTTACTAGCACACAACAAAACTTAATCCAACTCTAAATTATTTTTTCATGGGAAATTGCCAAATTCCTATGCATACTCATTTCTAACACCTCAACTTTTACTTTTTTATATTTATACCATACAAATCTTTCATATCACATCGAAAGTATCACATCAAAGGTATCACTATTTTAACTTTTTTTTTTTTTAAGTGAAATATATTTTAAATGTATTGTTAAGGTGCTATGTATTTAGAAATTAAATTTTAAATGTTAAATATATAAATGCATAAAAATTGAGAGGAATGTACACAGTTAAATCTTACTTAAATTAATTGATAAATATTGAATAAGTTTTGATTAAAATATAAAAACTAATAAAATTACATATTATACTATTAAATTAATAGGCTTAATTAAATTTCAATTAAGGCTTAATTGAATAAGTTTTAATGAACAAATCATAATAAATTTATGGAAATTAAATTTTGTGGCTAACTGAGAGTTCCATAAAAACTATCACATGCATGAAAAAAAATTTTGTGGCTAACTGAGAGTTCCATAAAAACTATCACATGCATGAAAAAAAATTTTGTGGCTAACTGAGAGTTCCATAAAAAATATCACATGCATGTCTATGGTCTGCATCTAATGATTAGTCCCCTCATTTAAACTGCACTAAAAAAGACATTATTTTCATGGGCCAAAATCTCTCTTGTACGCCTGCTAAGAATTTGTGAAACTAGACGGGCCCAATAGAGCAATAATTAATTGAAATGATGTATCCATTAAGTTCGAAATTAAGTTTGTTTTTCGGCCCAATCAAATTTAATCAATTAAAATTTTCCAAAAATAAAGCTACGATGCTCAGCTGGCCAATTTTGTGGTGACACTAACAAAATAAGAGAAAAAATTGCTTCTCTGTTGTGATTGTATTGCTTGTTTTGCAATATTCATATAGCACACAAAATGTAAGTATTTATGTATTTCACACTCAAACTTCATTATTTACATCTATAACATTCAAAATATATATCAAAATTTAATAAAAATTAGCACCAACATTACTTTCCGTCGCAACATTGCATGATTTCGGCAGGTTTCTTCGCAAAATCTAAATACTAATAGGAAAAGACAGTGGTGGTACCGGAGAAACAGTCGGGTGTCGTCGACGCCGCTACAGCCAAACCACCATTTCCTGATCGCCACCACTACCTCAGCCACCACCGCTGCCCTGTCCTCTCTGTCTCCACTGCTGCCGTCGAAAACACCATTGCAGTCTAGCCACCGCTGTTGTCTAATTACAAACGTTGTTGTCTTAGTTGAGTTTCACCACCGTCGAGCTCCACTATCATTGGACCATCACCGTTAAGCTACACCACCGCCAAACTTTTGATGAGACAGCCGGGTGTCGTCGACGCCGCTACAACCAAACCACCATTTCCTGATCGCCACCACTACCGCTGCCACCACCGCTGCCCTATCCTCTCCATCTCCACTGTTGCCGTTGAAAACACCATTGCGGTCTAGCCAATGTTGTCGTCTAATCACAAACATTGTTGTCTTCATACCAATGTCATCAAAATGCCACCAATTCTTTTACATGTCATGCCACTCCCCTAGAGGAAGTCATGTCGCTTGTGTAGCATTGCTCTTTGCCAGTTAAGGGTCAACAAAGCCTCGTACGCCACATTGAGATAGTGGAATCATTTCTACTAGACAAAAACCAAGTAGTTTTTTCCCATTTTGGTTTTCCACGAAAATACTCATGTTGGCTTCTTTGTCAATTTCTTCTCATATGTATTTGTGTTGACTTAAAACATTAATATATCATTCTACCGCAATGAATTTACTAGCACACAACAAAACTTAATCCAACTCTAAATTATTTTTTCATGGGAAATTGCCAAATTCCTATGCATACTCATTTCTAACACCTCAACTTTTACTTTTTTATATTTATACCATACAAATCTTTCATATCACATCGAAAGTATCACATCAAAGGTATCACTATTTTAACTTTTTTTTTTTTTAAGTGAAATATATTTTAAATGTATTGTTAAGGTGCTATGTATTTAGAAATTAAATTTTAAATGTTAAATATATAAATGCATAAAAATTGAGAGGAATGTACACAGTTAAATCTTACTTAAATTAATTGATAAATATTGAATAAGTTTTGATTAAAATATAAAAACTAATAAAATTACATATTATACTATTAAATTAATAGGCTTAATTAAATTTCAATTAAGGCTTAATTGAATAAGTTTTAATGAACAAATCATAATAAATTTATGGAAATTAAATTTTGTGGCTAACTGAGAGTTCCATAAAAACTATCACATGCATGAAAAAAAATTTTGTGGCTAACTGAGAGTTCCATAAAAAATATCACATGCATGTCTACGGTCTGCATCTAATGATTAGTCCCCTCATTTAAACTGCACTAAAAAAGACATTATTTTCATGGGCCAAAATCTCTCTTGTACGCCTGCTAAGAATTTGTGAAACTAGACGGGCCCAATAGAGCAATAATTAATTGAAATGATGTATCCATTAAGTTCGAAATTAAGTTTGTTTTTCGGCCCAATCAAATTTAATCAATTAAAATTTTCCAAAAATAAAGCTACAATGCTCAGCTGGCCAATTTTTTGTACATTTTGTGACACTAACAAAATAAGAGAAAAAATTACTTGTCTGATGTGATTGTATTGCTTGTTTTGCAATATTCATATAGCACACAAAATGTAAGTATTTATGTATTTCACACTCAAACTTCATTATTTACATCTATAACATTCAAAATATATATCAAAATTTAATAAAAATTAGCACCAACATTACTTTCCGTCGCAACATTGCATGATTTCGGCAGGTTTCTTCGCAAAATCTAAATACTAATAGGAAAAGACAGTGGTGGTACCGGAGAAAAGCTTCGATCAATTATGAATCAAAATTACACTATCAAAAATAGGAACTACACCGCAGTTGGAGTAAACTCTTAAAGGCTTCGGCTTAGAGTGATGAAATTAGAGAGGTGAATTTTGAAGCGTACTATTTCTTTTGTGGGATCAAGTGATGACTCAGAGTTGAATTCTTGTAAATTCCAGTGTTGTAGAAAGAAGATCAAAGTGGTGAAAATCTCTGTATATTTCACCTATCATAATGAAGTTTTGGTGTGGTGTTGCTCCGTAATGTTTTCTCATTCTCGGGGTTTTCCAGGTTAAATCTTGGTGTGTCTTTCTACGATTATTTTATTGTGCATTTCTGTTCGATATTTTATTCTGAATATATTGAATCAATATGATCCTATTTTCCGTATTATGATTTTGATTGTCAATCGATTAAAGTCTTTGTATTCCATCCCAACAGGCTTAGGTCATACATGTTCTTCTCTTCCCCTTGGCAGCATCGTGAAGTCACCAATCACAGAGACGATGGTGAATGATAGCAGTTCCTCAGTAAAATAGTTGGAATAGGTAATAGATTATGAGATTCCATTTTCAGCGGAGATATTCTGCATTCATTTAGGCCAACAAAACTCAGACTACACAATCTAACAAGAGAGCACATGATGAATGAATGATATTGGCACATAGCACCTCACAAGGGATGGTGAAAACTTGTTCAGGGCCCTTCAAATCATCAGGTGGTAGGGTAAAGCTTTCAATTATTTATCGCAAAATCCAAATTTCATAAACATGTATTTTCTATTTATTAAATTATTTTTAAAATTATAATTCATTAAGTTATATTTATTTCATAATAAATTTAATGATTGTAGATTTTTTTAATCAAAATTTGAACCATTTCTTTCCAGTAAAAAACATGTATTTTGTAAAAAAAAAAAAAAAAAAGAATGTCCTGAGTTTTTTTAATCAAAATTTGAACCATTTCTTTCCAGTTAAAAAAATGTATTTTGTAAAAAAAAAAAAGAATGTCCGGACGCGATTATATGAGTCTCGGTCATCCCGATACGCCTAACAATTCGAGTATCACACCCTCCATCGGGGGAATCGAACACCAGATCAAATGGGACTTACAACTGACAAGCAGATGCCCAATCAACTGATATAAGCACAGGACACATATAAATATATATATATATAATATTTACTAACATGCAATAATGTATTTGAAGCTGGCTTGTTATGTGAACCATATTTTGCCGTCAAGTACTGTTGAATCATCTTATCCATATTACCTTTTTGTGTCACTTTCACTCAAAATAATTAATAGTAATAGTAATAGCAATATATATATAATTGCTCAATATGGAGCTTATATCTTATTCATGCCATAAAGAGAAAAAAATGGAAAAAAGAAAAAGAAAATTCAGTTATTAAAACTAAAGAAAATAAAAAATAACTGCACATAGAGATAGAAACATGACATGAACAAGTTGACAAAGGGGAAGAGACGGCAGGCTTACAATAAAACAAACTATGAGCCATGACATTAGAGATGTCAATTTTTAAAATGCAACACAAATCTTTTCTATTTACATATATAATACCTAAACTTACATGCATAGAACTTAAATATTTAACTTCACATAAAAAAATATAACTATTACATATTTTTTACAAGTGAAATACAAATTTCCATGAATAAATTTACAATACCAAAAATGTTTTAAATATAAATATGAAAATTTAAATGTTAGATATGTAAGTATATAGGAATTGTATTGTATGTATGCAAATTTTCCTAAGTAGAAAGATCCCACCACTTTGAGATCAAATGAGCTCATGAGAAAGAGGAATGATAAAGAGGAAAGAGGAACGAAGAAGAGAGATAGATTGTCACAAGTAGGGGAAGAGCCTACCCAAACTTCTCCCTCTCATATTTCGTTGGGAATGTAAATTGCAGAAATCGACTCGAGATATGTGGCGCAAAGTTTTGATCGGAAACACACATAGCAATAAGAACATAAAAAATGCCAAATTAAACATGGAAATAATCAGAGAACTGGAAAAAAATTACAAAGCCATGTCATAAAAATAATATCAATATGAAGAAAAAATGAGAAGAATATTACAAATTACACCACATTTAAGCATTTTCACAATTTGGACGCACAAGGACACTCAAACTCTAGCCCCTAGCGAAAAACCGTAGAATATACTATCAAAAGTCACAAATGACTCTGTTTGGGTTTCCTTCTTCATGTTCAATTACAAAAAGGAACCGTCAAAACATATCTTAAGTTGCTCTTGATTGGGTCATAGTGATGTGGCACCGCGATATAGCACGGCAACACCATACTCTCGGGTTTTGGCGCAAATTTTCCTCCATAATTAAAGTTGTGGGGCTTCACGGATAGTGCCTCGGTGCTATTACACTAGTTATGTAGTGTTGATACTATAACACTGATAGCACAACTTTGAACCCATAAGGAGGCGCTGCCCCACCCATCCCTCCCGACAAACTCACCACCGAGCTTGGTGAGTTTGAACCCATAAAGGAGGCGCTGTCCCACCCATTCCCTCCCAACAAACTCACCATCGATATAGCGTTGTGGCACCATACTCCCGGGTTTTGGCACAAATTTTCCTCCAAAAGTAAAGTTGTGGCGCCACAAGGACAGTGCCTAGGTGCTACTGTATTAGTTATGCAGCATTCATACTGTAACACTGATAGCACAATTTTGAACCCATAAATGAGGCACTGCCCCACTCATTCCCTCCCAACAAACTCACCACCGAGCTTGCTTAGTTAATTAAGGACTCTTAGTTGACAATTTATTAACACAATCAAACTCCACATAATAACGTATGCTCCTACGAACTAAGCCCCGTGAGCTTGAATCTCTTAAATAATTAGATTAGCATAAGTAGCCAAACAACCGACACCCCTCCCAAATATTATGTATTGTAAAAGCTTAGAGAGAGAGAGAGAGAGAGGATATTATTATGCCATAATCTCCCTCCACATATGGGGCATGATAGAATCAAACTATGAGCGATCCCCAAGTTGGGGGCCAATCAACATAGTTCATCATTTTAAACCTAAATCATTTTACCTTTTTTTTTTTATTTATTTGTTTCTTTCTTCATGTTCAAGCTTTAAAAGCCACACCCTTCTCTTCCTCCCACTCACCAAGTCAGCCATGGAAGATCCATTCTCTGAATATAATCAGTCAGCAGAAGACGAATACATAGACATAGATTTAAGGTCCCCTGCAATCTTCTGCTGCAGCATTTCTTCTCCTGACCACACACAGGAAACCACAATCTCCACAGCTGATGAGCTCTTTTGCAGTGAAAATCTTCTTCCTCTTCGTCTTCCTCATTGCATGCAGAAGGAGAAAAAGCTCCAAAGGGGTTCAGAAACTGTGTCAAAAGATAGTCAGCTCCACGTTGCTTCGATCGAGTCGGAACATGAAAAATCATGGTCGAAGAAGCTGAAGGGCATTGGGCAATCTTTGCTCAAGTTAAAGATATCAAAAGCTTATTTCAGCAAATCGATTTCCTCTGTTAAATCAAGGAATCTTGCAAGCAAATCTGTGCCTGCACTTTCGCTGAGTTCAGTTTCTTCATCTTCATTTTCATGTGTGAGCCGAAGCTCACATATGCTAAAGAGAAGTAGCAGCATGAGCTCAGAGATGGAGAGTTCTGTAATGGGAGCTATAGCTTACTGTAAGAAAACACAGCAGATTTGTGGAAGGAAGGGAGAGTGCAGGTAAAGTAGCCATTTAATTCATTGCTGCTGCTCCGCTTGTGGGGGGGTGAGATTTGATGAGAGGATTATAAACAAGGAATTTATGGTTATGTTCTAAAATTGATTTTTATTATTATTATTTTAAATTATTGGAGTTTTGAATATATTTGTTTTTGAAGTATAGATTGGGTTCCCATGAAGATTACTCCAAGGAGTGATTTTGTGATGTCAAAAAAATAGGAATTATCTCAAATCTTTATTGTAAAGATGCACATAACTGTAACAATAGTTGAGGGTGTAATTTACCACTATGAGGTCACGAGTTTGAATCACACATATTACCAGCCTTTGGGCTCCCCTTTCTCAAAAAAAAAATCTAGAATAAGAAGAACCCCCTTGCTTACACCACAGAATAATGAAACTACAATCTATAACTAAGAAAGTAAACATAGTGTCTATTAGGGACAGATTTGCGTCTATTTTTCATTTCAAACCGCCACCACAAATTTATTTGGGAAACTATTTTTTTGTTATTTTCTAAAAATTTATGTGGTGTGAAGTTGTTAAAGTGAGGTGACTGAGAGAAAGTTGTTGTTTGTTTTTTTAATATATATATATATATATATATATAATTCTCATCGTAGCTTTCTAAAATGTTTTTTCCATCACATTTTTCAAAAAACTACGGCCACCACCTCAAATAGACCCTTATATTTATTAAAATTTACATTGTCATACCTACCAAATATAGATAAATATCAATTCATATAATCAATAAAGCAACTCTATACATCAAGTAATATTTGATGAAAAAGGTGTCTTAATAAATTTGATATCTTCAAATTGGCATAAATGTATGTTCATATAATCATGAATGTATTCTCTTAATAGGTTAATGACTTATGACCAATTTCCTAATATAACTAGCATGATATGCAGTATGTTTTCATTTAAAGGACAAAAAGAGGATTTATAAATCAGTAATAACCAATTTCTTCAATAATTTTTTTTAAATAATAATAGAATTTTAGGCCCTATTTCAGATCACTTTTTGTTTTCTGAAAACAAACCAAAAAATAGTTTTTGTTTATTCTTTTTTTGTTTTTATTTTATTTTATTTTTAAAACACATAAGACTTATTTTCAAAACATCAAAGACATAAGAATTGTGTTTTTGTTATTTTAAAAACATGTTTTTCGGGTCATTACCTGTGCGAGGCTTCACGACACCGCCACCCCACCTGCCACAGTCGCCCGACACCTATCGTAACCTGTCATAACCGGCCACCCAAGAAAATGTTTTTTTGCTCGAAGGAGCAAGGAAGACGTTGTATACATCATGGGCAGTAGAGCTTAATACTGGAACACACTTGGACTAAATCGTTTTATAAAAAATATAATTTTTCTTTATATATATATATATATATTAAAAAAACATAAAAATCATAAAGGAATCCAATGTATTTTCTAAAAACAAAAAAAAAAATAAAAACAAAAAAAAATAAAAACAAAAAATAAAAAAAAATAGAAAGTTATCCCAACTAGACCCTAAGTATGATTAATGAGGAAATGATTATCGAAAATATCCAAGAATTTCAATAAGAATTTTGGTAAAAAATCATTGATAAAACATAGGAAAATTTGCATACACGCCACTTAATTCTTATGCATTTACATATCTACCTCTGAAATTTAATATTTACATATATGCCGTCTTACAGCCTTACCTATGCATGAAAATGTGTATTCCACATTTAAAAAATTAAAATAGTAATATTTTTAATGTGATATAAGAGATTTGGGTGGTATAAATTTTAAAAAGTAAAGTTTAAGTGTTAGATATGTAAAATACATAGGACTCAAGGAGTCGTAAAGTTTAAGTGTTAGATATGTAAATACATAGGACTCAAGGAGTGCAATTGTAAATGCCCCTAAAATAAACTAATTAAAAAGATTAATTTACAAAGTATCAACTTTTTGACAGAACGATAGCAAATTATGCAAAAGAAATAAATAAAGAACAAAATTACCAATAAAAAAATAAGAACATACACTGAACTACCCCAAAAATAACTTATTTGTCAAAAGACTAACATATCCAACTTGCACTCACAAAATTAAAATAGAAAGAGAAATTTTATTCTAATTCAAAAGTTCTAAAAAATTGGGCTCCGCCAAAACGAAATGGGGCATTTACATACCACACAATTCTTACATATTCACATATCTAACACCTAAAATTTCATATTTACATAGTTAACACTAAAATCGTTACTATTACATAAAAAATACTGCTATTACTAACTCTTTAAAAATGAAATACACATTCTTATGCATAGGTTTATGCCATGAAAGTGCTATGGATGTAAATAGCAAACTTAGGCAAAGTTAAACCTCTAATTTCCTAAAAGTGCAAAAAAATTCAGAATACTGCAAAAAAAAATAATAATAACAAAATAAAATGAACTTCTCTAAATGAAACAAATATTGCTACTCTCCTTGATAAAAGACAGTAATTTGGAGAACGGAATAGACATTTTGAAATTATCCCAAACATTTCTCTAAATGGAGGCAGCAAAAGTAACAACTTACTTCCCAAAATCTGATTTTTCTCCCCAAGAATTCAGATCAACGGAGACAAAAAGTATGAGAGGCACATGGCACTAGCTGTAAGCATATTTCATTTTCTGCAAGGAAGAAAATTAGAGAAGAAAGAGTTATTGGGAAATGATGCGCTTACATGAGTATCTTTCTCTAGAATGAAGAAACAAGGAAGTCCCCAACGGTCATAATTTAAACATTTGTACATACAAGAGATGCATCAAGTTGGTCCACATTTGAAATGAAATTTCAGAATAACAAGATATTGGAAAAGATAAGACCTTGATTGTCATTTTATGTGGGGAAAGATGCCATTTTTCTATGACGAATTAACACCACAATTTGGTATCATTTGCACTAGAGTTGTTTATCAGGATTTAATCGTAATGAACTACAGCTAAAATAACACAAAAGAGATCGAATGCTGAATAACAAACATAACAGAGTAAAAGAGTTAATTTTGATGGAGAAAAGTAACATTTTTATCACATATGGTTGAGATATGAGATATAGCACGTTTAAAGTTTGAAGGATCATTCAGTGATTCTTTGCAATGATGCCAACCCTTAAACATTGGCGTTACTTTTTGGACAAGAATATAAATGTTCTTCTTGTTTGTCTAAAACTCCATAAAATTTTGGCATTTTGTTAGAAATGATAATTTAGTATATTTCATTAATAAGGAAGACTAACCTTAGCCTTATAGCAAGGCCTATTAAAACACTGGCAGTATTAATAAGGATTGCTACAGAATTTTGCTATACTATGTTTTATGACAAAGCCTAGTAGTATTGTCAGAGTTTCAAGAAATTACTGTCCCTTTGCAAGAAAACCTCAATCTACATGGATTTTTATACAAATAACCCTAAATAGTTAGGGATGCTATTCTTCTTTCAGGAGATTGTATTTGCAACCAATGCAAGCTAAAGTAAAAGCAAAGATGAGACATACAATATTAACAAGTTAAAACTTAAAACTTGAGGCCGCAAAATATTCCGGCATTCTTTTCACATAAGCAAACAAAGTCATGGTGTCCCAAATTTTGAACGAATAAAAAATGATCAATTGAATCAATTTTGAAGCAGATTTGATCCAATAGATTAAAGTCAAAAAATACTATCAAAATTTTGAAGTAGGATTGAGTAAATCATCATCACCACCACCATCATCAGCCTTCTACCAATTATTTGGGGTTCATATTATGAAACATCATCTTTCATAGGATTAAACACACCCGCTGAGATGAATGTACATCCAAGAAAAATACAATCATTGAACCGAAACTTGGGTTCATCTGAGCAAAAACAGTCCTTTAAAACTATTAAACATCAAAATAAATTGTAATTGACAAACTTATCCAATACAACTGATTGCAAACATAAATAGATTTAAAGGTTTATTCTACATATTGCTTATATAATCATGACACCCAAGAAGGGGGTGGGGAGTCATCTAAACATCTCAACATTGGCAGGAATTTCGCCCGCATCCGATCACCAATTCTTGTTCGCTCCGGATGATCGTCTTGGGTGAATAGAGAAAGGAATGCACACATCATGATATTGTAATTTGTCTAGCTCAAATGATTTAGTTCATAAACTTGTATATATTATCAAAAACTCAGATAACAACCTTCAAAATAACAACAATGTAAGTAAACGTTTCAATTATTTACAAGCAAAAATCACTTCAAATTATAACTTGTGGAGTCTACAATGAAATAACCTCTAAATGAGAAAAAAACAAAAAAGTAAAGGGGCATTTACATACATAGCCCACAATGGTTATGTATTTGCATATCTCACACCTAAACTTTCATATTTACACACATAGCACTCAAATATTTAATATCACATAAAACTTGGCACTAAAAAATAACACTATTATCACTTTTTAAAAGTGAAATACACCTTTTCATGCATAAGTTTAAAGCAACAAAGTGCTATGTGGGTAAATATAAAAGTTTAGGTGTGAGATATGTAAACACATAAAAATTGTGGTTAGTTATGTAAATTTTGCAAAAGGAAAACACCTTATATGAGCTACATCATGCATGCTTGCTCTTTCAAAACTCCTAGTAGAGAGAGAGAAAGAGAGATGCTTCAGTAAATACACAATGAAAAACTTCGGCATTTCTTGGCTAGCGGGAATCAACCATAATAATAGTCAGCATTCTTCTTCCACATTTGAGAACTGGAAAATAACTAGTAACAAATAAACTATAAATATGGAATCTTGTTTTGTGCTCTATAAAACTGCAAATAAAGTGCTTACCAGCATATTTTCAGGTCCTAGCAGCCAAATTTTAATTTGATTGTAATCTACTAACAACAAAAACATTAATTTTAGTGATCCCATAGAAAAGTTAATATACCAAAAGGAAAATAATCTACCTTTGTTTTTTCATTTTCACCAATATATTCACATAACTTTTTCCCCCTCGATAACTCTTTTCCCGCCCATATAAGTTGAACATCTTGATGAAGTTCTGGATCTGCATAAGAAAAATAATTTTATATAACATTCACATAAAGATGAGAAGAAGCATTTACATACATACGATTATACCACGCAATTCCTATGTATTTATGTATCTAACACCTAAACATTACTTTTACATTTACACCAACCAAATCTTTTATATCACATCAAAGTCACACTATTTTAACTTTTAAAAAATGAAATACACCTTCTCATGCATAGGTAAGATGGCATATATGTAAATCTTCCTAAGAAAAAAAAATCATCAATAAATACCACACTTCAATTCAATTCAATCAGGAAATTGAGTTCAGTGATGAACAATAACTCAACATAGAGCTACCCGTCATGTATAATGATAATAAATCCATACCAAATATATCTAAAAAATTTTAATGAAAATTAATGTATTAGAAGTGTTCGAAATGTGGAAGATGTTACTGAAAGTTGTTAATTGAGTCATCGATTCTGCCAAACCACTTGAATGAGCAAGCTTGACTTCCCTTTCTATGTTCTGAATATGGTCTCGGAGAAAGTAAGGCGACAAGAGCCTTTGATGCAAAACTTGCTCCTGCAAACAACTCCGAGTTGTTATTAGAATTGCTTATGCTAACTAATCATGAGACAAAACTGTAAAATGAATTTCATTCAAATTAGATAATATCGCATGGTAATTTTAAAAATAAATAAATAAAAATCAAATTTGCAAGGAAAGAAAAAGTCACCTTGGATGCATATGACTCAGCTTCCGATAAGGTTCTATCCAGAACAACTGCTGCGGCAGGGCAGCTCTCTGAAACACAGAAAAGGTAGATAAATTCAATTATCTTTCTCCAGATAACAGAGATTTCAAAATGAAAAAATGAATGTGTTTTCAGCTTCCATTATCTCTGATATAACCAACTGTGTTGGGGACCACTACCACACTCTAGAATAATCTATTTCTCATCATATATAGATACACGTGTACTGTATTAGTTGTGGTGAAGATACTTTTAACCTTTCTTCCTGTTTATTAGAAATGATCTTCACATTTTATCTACTGTAGCTATTCTCTTTATTGTCGTTCTACACAGCAGCTCATACTCAATTGCTATGGAAGTTTAACATGGTATCATAGCTTTTCGGAAGAAGATCAAGATTTTTATCCTCTAAGCCCAAAATCTCTAAGTTTTTTCCTCTCTCCTCTCTTTCTCGCTATTCTCTACCGCCAATGTCGGTGAACTCCTCACAAATTAATCAGGAAGCCGTCAACAAGTCATTGGACATGACCAATTCCCCATCCCCTCATCTCTCAAGCTTTTGATGTCCAATATCAAAACCATAGCCAATGTCCAACTAACCGCAGAAAATTACCCAACGTGAAAACCTCAAATTTACAAGCGCTCCAAATCCAATGAATTTGAGGGCTTCCTCGATGGAACCACTACACGCCCGGCATCCCAAATCAGCACCCCTGATGGCCAATCCATTCCCAACCCTCACTTTCTCCAGTGGCAACTCATAGATCAAAAATTGTCCGCAGCAATCTACTCCACTATATCTCAATATCATTTTACCCTACATTCTTAAGCTTGAATCCACCGATGACATTTGGAAAACTCTTCAAGGTCGTTTGCAATCAACCAATCGATCCGTGTAATGCAACTACAAAATGAACTCCATCACATCTCCATGAAAAACCAAACTATTGTCCCAATACCTATTGATAATCAAATCCCTAGTTGACAACATCATCATGGCTGGAGAACATATTATCAAGAGGACATTATTCTTCACATCCTCAATTGCTTGCCCACCTCATACCAATCCTTCAAAACAATTATCTGAACAAGATCAGAACCAATTAAACTTGGCGACATGTACTCCCTCCTTTGTAGCGAGGAGAAAAATCTCTCGACTGAAACTACTAAGAAAACCAATGTTGATGCCATGGATTAGTGCTCGTGACAGCAACAATGGCTCTCGTAGTCGTGGTCGGTGTCCCTATTATAACAGGGGCTCTCGAGGATCATCAAATTTGAACCGAGAAGATCGAAATCAAGTTCGGATAGCTAATCGTCAATCTTGCCAAATCTGTGGCAAAGTTGGTCATACCGCTCTTGCTCTGCTCTTCAATTTTGGCATCACACTAATTTCAACTCATATCCATCTACCAAACAATAGGTCGCACTCACTTCACCCATCAAACCATCTTCAAAAAATTGGTTACTAGACTTGGGAGCCACCACTCATCTCACCTCAAAATATGACCATCTTCAGCAGACCCAACTGTAAACCAACTCCGTCTCGATCACCATTGGTGATGGCTTCAGTCTTTCAATCACCCACACTGGGCAAGGTATCCTACCAACACCACAACGTAAGCTCCACCTCTCCAACCTCATTTACTCTCCCTTCTTAACTCACAATCTTCTCTTCGTCCATAAATTAGTCTCGGATAATAAATTGTGACATTTCATTCATTCACTCCACCTGGCTTTGACATTAAGGACTGGAGCACCAACAACATCCTCCTGAAAGAACCTAGCAAGAAGGGTCTTTATCCCATCTCCACCCTCGTTGCAAACCAATCCTCACCAGAATCCAGTCTCCTTTGGCGTCGAAGACTTGGGCACCTATACATCACGCCACAACAACTACTATTCTCAAGACAAATAATATCAAAGCTAGTTCTCTTTCTACTTTCTATTGTAATGAATGTAATTCATCTAAGAGTCACAACAGTTTTTTAATACCTCTGTTTTAGCATCCCACCATAGCTTTGACCTAGTTCATTCTGATGTATGGGATCCTGCACCCACACCTCTCTACAAGGTAATAAATATTATCTTTTGTTTATTGATGGTCATTCCAGATTTAATGGGGTGCTTCCTATGTTTGCAAAGTTCGAAACAATAAATAAATTTATTCAATTCCACGAACTTATTCAAAATCAGTTCAATACTAACATCAAAACCTTACAGTCTGATGGGTGGCAAATACACATCTCATTCTTCGCAAAACTATCTGAATTCTCACGGCATAACCCACCAATGTAGCTATCCTCCACCCCCCAACAAAATGGGGTCTTCGAGAGAAAACATCGTCGTATTTTTGAAACATTGCGAACCATTCTTCTCACTGCCCATCTTCCTTACAAATTCTGGACTGCAGTTGTACTTGCCGCAACCTACCTCATAAATCGCATGCTATCCAAAACAACTAAACTAAAAAGTCTATGTGAACTTCTTTATCATAAACCACTTGCATATAACCACCTCCGCACTTTCAGATGCCTATGCATCCCTTGACAAAAACCCCAAGCTCCACACGAATTGGCTCATATCTCCCTGCCGTGTATATTCATTGGCGGCTACCCACCCTATTACAAAGGATACTACTGCTATAACACCCAAACCCAACAAATCATCATCTCGGGACATGTTGTCTTCAATGAATAGGTATTTCCATACCAAAACCCAACCTCCCAATCTCCCATCACTCATACTCATATTTCACTAAATCTACTCCTTCCTATCTCACAAGTCGATCACATCCTCAACACATCCCGTAACTATAGCTAAACATCCCTCAGCTCCATCCCCTCCAAAACCGACAGCTACCACAACCACATCATATCCTATCCCAGCATCCACAACCACTCAAGCTCCAACTTCCAGCATACCCGAACTCTCCACCTCAACTCCTCCAGTGCAACAAAAATTGCAGCAACATATATACAAACACCCATGACGACTCGTTTCCAAACTGGATCCCTCAAACCAAAGCAAATTCTAAACATCAATACCTCAACCAGCCCACCACCCGATCCAACCACCTATCAACAAGCAAAACATCATCTCCACTGGCGTAAAGCCATGTTCGAGGAGTTTGAAGCCCTACAACGGCAAGGAACCTGGGTTCTTGTTGATCCATCTCATTCTAATATCCTAGACTGCAAATGGACATACCAAACCAAATATTCTCAAGATGACACACCCAACAAACTCAAAGCCCGTTTGGTTGCACAAGGTTTTAAATAGCAGCAAAGCATTCAATATACTGAAACCTTAAGCCTAGTTGCCAAATTGCCAACAATTCGCATTCTGCTTAGGGTTGTGACTCACCACAAATTGTCGAATCAACAACTTGATGTCTTAAATGCATTTCTTCATGGCTCCTTGGATGAAACCATTCCTCTGCATCAACCTCAAGGTTTTCAAGTCTCCCAACATCCGACCAAGATATGCCCTCTTAAAAAGACCATTTACGACCTTAAACAAGCACCAAGAAAATGGTACTCAACTCTTATCACCCACATGCTCAATTAAGACTTTCACTTATGCTCAGCCAATACCTCCCTCCTTCTATATACACATAACCAAACCACCATTTACTTTCTTGTCTACGTAGATGACATTCTCATCACGGGGAACAATCCATCCACCATCACCAATCTCACCCAAACTCTTAAATCCAAATTTCAACTAAAGGAACATGGTCCCATTGCAACCTTTCTCGGTATTACCACCCAAACCACGCCTTTCAGCTATCACTTATCCCGAACTTCATACACTCACGACCTTCTTCAACAACTTGGAATGTCAAATTTCAAACCTATAAACACCCCGCTTCCACTTCAATTCAAACCGACAACAACACCACACATTCCATGATATCACCCAACATCATCTACTAGCTGGATCCCTACAATTCATCGCAATCACTTGACCCGACATCGCCTTCACTGTCAACTACATTTGCCAACAAATGCACCACCCACTCATCTACCACTTTCAACTCATCAAGCGCCTACTACGCTATCTCAAGGGTACAATTAACTTCGAACTTCCCATCACCAAAGGCAATCTACAGCTCTGAACCTACTCAGACTCTGACTGGGCCAGTGATTCCACGATCTTCGCTCCATCACCGGCTTTTGTACCTTTCTTAGTAATACTCTCATATCCTGAAAAAGATCGTGGCATGATCCTCCATCGAAGCTGAATACTGAGCACCTGCAGCAGCAACCATGAATTTCCTTTGGATCAGATGGCTTCTACAAGAGTTTCACATCCCTCCTACCACTCCAACACAATTTTTTTGTGACAGCACCTCAGTAATTGCTATAGCCCTCAATCCCATATTTCACGCTCGAACGAAACTCGTTGAGATCGACTACCACCTTATTAGGGATTACATCGCATCTGGCGAAGTTCATGCTCAACACATCATCTCCCAGATCAAGTTGCTGGCATCTTCACCAAAAGTCATTCTGCATCAGTCTTCAGCACAATTTGACACAAGCATACTATCACTTCACTTGATAGTCAGCTTGAGGGAGGATAAGACCCATACCTACATGCAGCAAATGGGAATTTCAACTTCCACCATCTCTTCTAATAATTAACTATGTTGGGGACAACTACCAAAAATCTAGAAAGGTTGAAAGTACCTTCACCACAACTATTACAGTAAACATACATACATACATATATATATATATACATACATACATACATACATACATATATATACATATATA